TTTTTGTTTACTGCCTACTAATTTTTAATGACAGAGTATTATGTCAAATGTAACCATAATGTTGCTGAGATGTTTACAAAACTCCGGACCGCTGGTGTTTACGGTAGGGACCAAACACGCTATTACCCTTTCCGGGGGCTAACGCGTTCACCATCACAGCATGCGAGTTCTACATTTCTCCTGTCTCTCAGCTCTGTTATTGTTTGTTTCTCTCTTTCTCTCAGCTAGTAATGTTTGAGGAGGATGTTTATTTTCCTCATAAGTATTTGATGTTACTTCAACGGTGTCTCAGCTTAACTGGGTTCGTTACCGATTTAGGCTTCCCAGATCAATCTCGCTGACGGGTGATTGCTGATGGCAGAGATCGATAGAACTAGCTGAGAGACAGGCGAAACGAGGGACCCGCACGGTGTGGTGGTGAACGCGTTACTCCCCGGAAAGGACAACGGCGCGTTCGTTCTCCACCGCAGACACCTGCGGTCCGGACTTTTGCAAATATCTCAACATCACTGAAGTTATATTTCACAATGTATAGCCTGCCATTAAAAGAAGTAAGCAGTAAATAAACGGTTAAGAACGTATCTCATGTTATTCTTTCAGTCTAATGTCTTCCGTTACATATCTCATTCAAACAAGGCGATCATTGACACCATTACAATTGTGTCTCATTTGCTGTAAAAGGAAGCTATCTAAGAAGAGTTCGGCACTGCTATGCTTATTGAAAGCAACTGTGACGATTTCCACTCGATACGTTATTTTAATGTCACAAATAAATCTTTTACTGAATCGATGACTGACTTTTCCTTTGAATGACTCTCCTTTACGAACTATTTTGCAGATATTAACACATTTTTTATCGAACCAGCAATCTAGTACCTTGCAAATTTGACAAAATTTTCCCTTGCTAAGACATCGAGATCGCCGTGTTAACGTTTTTTCAACTCGTCACCACAGCCTAGTGGTTGGTCGGATGCAACTTTGCTACCTTACCACTAAGTCGGTTCTGGAACAGCAAAGGGTCACGGCATTGGTTTCCTTCGACTTTCTGTGTGAAGACTTTCAACACCTCATCTTTGAAAACTACATCTATCAGCTACAGGGCGGTAAATCATTGGAAAAGCGAAGTCAATTAAGAGCATGGCCAGTTCAGCTTAGATCAGCTCTTTCCAAGTCATACTATATTAAGACAATAGGGATTCAAGAGTTAATCAACCTTGGTGAATTGAGCTCTTTAAATTCAAGTGGATTTACAATGGCATGTAGGCTTGGTGGGGCGAATGTGACGCACTGCATAAGGGTTCCTCGCAATACACGTGGTCGCTGATTCGACCCTTAGTTGAGGCGTCGCCAAGCTTTTCATGCTTCTGGAATTGGTAAGTTGCTACCAGACATCTCCCAAAGCGTAGCAGCACTGATTTGATATATCAGTAGGTTACTGTAGGTCATTGTACAGAGCAGATATGTTTTCAGTGAACTCAAGCGTTTCTTGATGAGTGCATGGAGCAGCTCTCAGGAAATTTATTGGCTCCGAGCGCTTTATCGTTTATCCTTTATATAGGCTTGGAATATGTATGGCACTTAAGGAATTTCATATGGTTCACTTATTGGTAAAAATGGTTTTTGAATAATCACTAACAATCCGACAGAACATGGTATGGTAAACAAACAACTTTGTCCAAAAGTGTTTTATTTCGTGTAGAACATTCGATCTTCTACCACAATAAGCGACTCTGTACAACATTTCTTAACGAAAATGAAACGCTGCCCACTACCTGAGGGAGTGTTGGCAAAGGTGACTCAACGAAAGCGCTTGCCGAGGTCAATGATAATTCTAGAACTTGGACAGCTTCTGTAGAATTGATATTTGATAAATTTACAGCAAGCATGCATAAAGTGAACACTAAAATATCTGCTGCAAAAAAATCACACCTACTTTAAGTGAAAGTCGGTTTAACAACATTTTAAGGCCCGATATTAATGTGTGCTGTCACAGAATTGAGGCTCAAAGTCGTATTAACAATGGACTTTCACAAAACCGACTTTCTTTAAATAGCTTCTCTCAGCCTTTAATCTTTCACCTTGTTCTGCTAAGGTCCAACAGTTCTAAACACCATAACCAATTTCAATTGTTTCCGTTTCCCACAATTCCATCCCCAACGGTTTATAACCAAAATTCGCTCAATTTATACAACGTACAGTTTCAAGTTCATAAACTGCTTATCTTTATCCCGGCCCTTGGCGATACTGCCGAAACGTCAGCTAGCGTTGTATTGTATTGTGTTTTTATGGAAGTAAATGTATGCTGTTTAAAAACCTCGCGATTGCTGAACGAGAAAACGACACATTCATATTCCAATGCCGAGGTTAAGAGAAAGTCGATCTTGGGAACTATTATCCCAGCCCTTGTTTTTTCCCTAATAAAACTACAGAAAAAAATTGCACCAACCCTACTACGCGTTGAGAGAAAGAAAAAAGAAAAATGGGATAGGTTTTTAGGGGATATGCTTGATAGGTGAACTTTAGTGGTCCGCCTTTAGGACAATTGCGTAGCCCGCACCTCACTTTGTGTTTGAACATTGTTTTACAAAAGACAAAAAAAACGTAGACCTTCCCTTCATCTTTTGTTTTGCACTTCTTCACCCATAACAGAAGACCTGTCAGCTGTCTTTATTGATTCGGTCAAATTTAGTTTTCTTCAACAAAGAAGTTACCGTGTGGATGCATCCATCGCTACCATAGCTAAGGTAGTAATACGAGTGCACTTCAGTTCAACGAGAATCGAGAACATGGTCTTATTCGATCATCGCTGCGTCTGAACAAATTCGCTACGCTATGATTCATAGACGACTCATGAGGAGTACCACGGTCTCTTCACATGGTATGATTCATTTTCTGTCCAATTGGTTCTCTTGCGAGACAAACTTTTGCTGCGGTAACATGAGCAATCCTAATTGAATACTTTCCCTATGCTATGTGCTGTGTATGGTGTTTTTCACCTGTTAATGCCGTTTCAATTCTTCTACTCACTTTTGTGTCCTCTTTCGTCATTTACCTGCAAAATACAAATATTTACAGCTGCTTCTGGTTTAAAAGTGCAAACGACTAAACTTATTTCATTTCCAAATCTGATTTAAATTGCTTAAAAATGTTTAAAATTGAAGAAACTAACGTTTTCTGAGCTACGAATCTACGGAAGTATGCATAATAGCTTCATCTCTTACCTCTGGATAAATAAAGGATAAAGCTCTAAGCGTTGATTAATCCCAGAGAGATGCGCCATACATTTGACTTCATTAAGGAACAATCCCGCTGACGGGTGATTGCTGTGGCAAAGATCGATAGAAATAGCTGAGAGACAGGCGAAACAAAGGACCCGCATGGTGTGGTGGTGAACGCGTTACTCCCCAGAAAGGACAATAGCGCGTTCATACCCCACCATAGACACCTGCGGTCCAGAGTTTTGCAAATATCTCAGCAACGTTGTGGTTGTATTTCGCTTAGTACCCTGCCGCGAAATTATAGTAGGCAGAAAATAAAAAGGTATAACATCATTAAGGATCGTTTGGAGGTGATTGAATGCATATCTGGGCTTTACAATGACTCGCGGTGGCCTACCGAAGTATCGAGCCACTGCTGCTATCTTCCCATACAAGTCTGGTACCAATTTGCTGAGCCCGGTGGAATGGAAGGCTTGCTGTGCCGTTGCCGCTGGGAACGATTTCACGTATGAACGGCACACAATAGTCATTGAAAGTAAAGAGTTTTACCAAGACGTTTTAATTTTAAGAGAATATTCAGCTTACTATAATCGAGATTTTAACACGATCAATAAAGTACACATACACACAGGTAAAAATGAAACAAATCCATTTTAAAAAACGCTGACAATGGACTAGGGAGTGGGAGAGAAACAAAAAAGTGAAATATTGGGAGATGGGGAATCTTCCTCGTACACGAGATTAACCATCTAAAACTAGGAGGAATGTTATGAAGGAGTGAACACCTTAAATGAGTCGGTCATCGATGAGAAATGACAGAGATGACAGAGATGAACGAATAATATTTCTTGAAGTGAGTTCACCTTGACACGTGCAACGGTAAAGTTGGACACACGTTCAATAAAGTTTTTTTTGCTTCTAGAAACTCTTATAAAAATCCTTTTAAGAAGAATAAACAAACAAAGCAACTTCTTGCTTTCTGTTTTCTGGTGCGAACATCAAATTAGGTTTGATTAACACCAATTCATTGGTAGTAATAGATGTGATGAACAACGTCTCCTTCTAAGTGGGGTGGGTTCGGAACAACGTTGACAATCGACTACCAAGGAAATCGCAATCGTTCAGTGGAACTGCCACTGGTACTGAAGTCTATCGCTCAGACATCATCTTAACGAACTCTTCATAGTCAATTTCGCCATCACCTGAAAGCACTCGAAGTGAAATTATTTCATTTTTGATAAATTTAACAAGCCTTCTAACACTTCGTATTCAACACCAGGCCGATTTACTAATGAGAGGTTGTAGGTTTGGCAAAAAAAGTTGCAGAAAATATGGAAGAAGCAAAAGCCTACATGATAGCTAAATTTTGAAAAAAAAATGGTAGAAGTTAATATTGCGGTTTCGACTACACCCTCAGTTCAACTGGATTTAATGGTCCTCAAATAATTCCCGTTGACCGGTAACTGCTGAAGGCAATGTTAGGATGGGAAAGCAGAAGCCGCACAGGTGCCGTGGTTAACACATGAGCCTCCGGAAAGGGTAAGCGTGGCTCGATTTGGCCTGGAGTTCAGGTTTTGTAAATATCTCAACATCATAGTGGCTGTACAGATGATAATGCTAGAAATGTTGTAACTATCAAGAAGAAAACAGTACTCATCTCAATTGTAACAATTTAAGCAGAAAATTTAATGAGTTCAAACTTAGAAGTGACGCGTCAGTTATCATATCCTGGACCCAATAAAGCAAGCGGCAAACTATTTAACGAAATTCTCAGTACCATAACTAAGCGAGCTTTTGATTCGCCCTCATTTTGGAAAAGAAGTTATCCACCTTTCCTATTACTTTTATGACATCCAGTTGTTCTAGTTTATCACCACGTTCCATCTTTAACACTTAGTTCTTTTTAAACAATAAAAGCAAAATGTTCTGCTACTTGTACAATATAAGAACTATCTCGGCTCGGCTCTGTTCCACTCGTCATAACTTAGCTTAGATCTTGAGCTGCTTAGAGAATCGTTAAATCATTACAAAAAAAGGTTTGGCAGTAGTAGCAAAGCCACTACATCTATGCTTCACATATCCTTCTCATCCTCAAAATAGAAACGTCTTTCGTTAGTTTCTTACTTGCCTATGTGGAATAAAAGAAAGCATCGACTAGGTCACCCCGCCGGCTGCCTGAAGTGGAAAAGATTCTAGTATAAAATATTGATTATTCCTATTTTTAACAGTGTTTAATCAATGTTTTTTCAATAGGCAGACACGAGGTTGTTATTATAGAATTTATTAGAATACAATAGCTGACGTTTCGGCGGTTTGCCTTCTTCAGAGCCGTTTCTTTGTTGTAAGTATTTAAGTTAGTTGATGGATAGCAGCCGCACAGAGTAATACATGGGCGAGGACTGTGCCCGTGTCAGGTCATTGGATCAGCCTGAGGTAATTTGAAGTCTGCTTATTGAAGAAAAACATCGAATTATCAATCAATGCCGAGGTTAAAAGAAAGTCGGTCATGGGAAGTGTTTAATCAGCCTGATTAGATGATAGCGCATAGATTAATAGCATGCATAGATTGTGTTCTAACTTTTCTTCACTGCGTAATTTTTTTTTCATGGCGAGATACTTTGTGAACTACTAGCACAGCGATGGCGATATGTGAGCAACAATGGGCGTAGCTTCAGCTGAGCTTCGAACCCGTGATTACACCGGGATCTCACTTATTATCCACCACGTGTGAAGACGGGCTGTACTGCTGAATGGGAATAGCATGAAAATGTGGTCAAGAAAATTACAAAGCAAAGGACTCCGTCAGTGCAGTGGATAATACGTGAATCCTCAGGAAAGGAAATGGTGTGCTGAAGACCTACTGAGGTACTTACGAATAGAATGTTCTGAATAGTCTTACCGTCAACGTCTACTTCACGGATCATCTCATCAACTTCTTCTTCAGAGAATTGCATTCCCATGTGAATCTGAAATAAAGTAAGCTTAATATTCGCTTTAATTGCAGCAATCTGGTAGTTCCATATTTTACAAATTTTATTCCTTTGTCAGAGACTTTTGTGTTTCTTCATTAGGAATTGGAATAAGTCCCTCTAGACAAATGAATTGTTATAAAATCTAAAAAATGGCCAAATAAAGCTTACAGACTTTTCAATGGTCCAATAAATTGAGTACTTGGAGTGTTGAAAAATTTTGAAAGTGGAACTTGCATAGAAAAATTTCATTTCTGAGTGAACTGACATGCAATGGGAAAAACACCACAGTGATTAAAGGTTTTCTAAGAGACGTTTCTCAATAATAGGTAATTTCAAAAAAAATTTTCGACTCCCAATAGAAGTAATTTTTGAGAAATATGACGCTGCCGTTCATACGTATACATATGTATATGTACATACACTTTTGTACGGCCCGTCTTTCACATCTACAGTGCGGATCCCGGCAATTCTCACATTCGATTTGTTTCCTCGCACCCATTATCCATGAGTCTTCGAATTTTCACGCGTATCGGCTGCTGCTTGAGCATTATAATTTCGTCCTGAATGCCATTGAATGTTGGTCGAGTAAATTCTCCCTGGAGACCTGAGATAGTCAGGCTAGAGCGTTTCCGCTTGCATCGCGCAGAGTGAACTTTTTCCAAAGAAGTGCCGTTACCAATTTCCCGACCACGAAAGGATGAGAGGCTTGGTGAGTCCCGAAATGGAATTGGACCAGCACCGCATTCATGATCACCGGCATCACTACCACTGTGCTATCAGCGTCCTATTCTATAATATAAAATGGGTAGCATGTCAACGCGGCTCGGATTGTGTTGCCGATATTACCAGCACAGTCAATGACATCATACATATTACTCGGTCACCATCAAATATATTGATACGATCCTTGCAATACTTAACCACCAGTGCGCTCGTCAATTTCCTCTGGTTCCACCTTAACGACTTCGCGTTCTCTTGAGCTGTCTCTTCAAATCTCACGACCGACTTTCCGTTAACCTCGTCATTGATCGAGTAACTCTCCGTATTCCTGTTGAGCAAACGCGATGTGTTATTTATTCACGAGCAGGCTGACGTTTTGGCGGATTTCGCCTTCCTCAGAGCCTGGAAATTTCAAGTTGACAGCAATCTATTCGGTCAAACACCTCCATAGCCAAACAGAGAAAACGCTGAACCAACATTTCAATCACACTGAACACAGCTTTGCACACTCACCGCTTTCCATGAGGCCTCCACTGAGAATGTCACGTGGAGACCAACCGCGCGGAGTTCACACGGAATCGTATTGTGCCCATCCCATCAGAATAACAGTGTTATATACTGCCTGATATTAAGCGTGATAATGAGGCATTCTTCTCTGTGGGTCATTTTTGGCTTTCTGGAATTAATCCAGAACGACTCGAGAGTTTTGAGCTCTTGTGTTCTCGATTCCTGTGCGAGGAACGTAACAAGTGCTTCAAAGTGCTACGTTTCTGAGTCCTATGCGTGTCTAATGGGGTATTTGGTTTACTTTTGCCGACTAGGTGTTTTTTTATGCGGATACAGAGTGGTCTACCCTTTTCGCCAATGTATTCGTCTCCACACGCCTTACAGGAGCTCGGATAAACTATACCCGAGCCCATGCAATCACCGTCTTTACCATTGGGGCAAATTATACAATTTTGCGTTGCACCTAGACGGTCACATAAACGGTTACGAACTAGCTGGCGCTTAAGATTACTCGGTGACATTTCAACTACTTTTACCGAATTCTGTAGACCTGCTCTTCTTAAGCAGCATTTTACAGCTGCGCTTACAACATTTGAGATGAAGGGTGGAAAAAACGGGACCTTGTTATCGCTTGAGTTGTCGTTTGGTGGCCTAGGATTTCCTCTACACCTATGCCGAGCTTCAGTTTCGTAGCCGTTAGAAATGGCTATTTGCCGTGCGAAGTTCCGGGACTCCCTTCTCTGATCTCTTCCCGTGCACACGTCGGTTGCTGTTCAAAACATGTTTCTTATATATGTATATATATATCTTCAAAGTTTTTTGCAATTTTCTTTTACAGTAGTTGTTTGCTATAGAAATCGGGTTCACATTTTGCCTTATATATATATATATATATGTATATATATGGAGATAAATACATATATATATACATAAATATATGTATATATCTACATATATATCTATATCATGTATATCTATATCTATATCATATATATATATATTTACATATGTATGATGTATCTGCATATATATATATATGTATATATGTAGATACACACATACAAATATACGTATGTATGCACATATACACACGTATATATGCATATGTATATCTATATATGTGTAATAAAAGCACCGTGATTACATATCATAAAAGGTATTGGGCATAATTAACTCATTATGCAAAACTTGCACAAATTTGTAAAAAAGTAAACTCAGGAACTGACGAAAATTTGATGATCTAACACCTCTAGCGACGTCCCAACTACAACTGGAATATGGGAATGCGTGAAAACGCCGATTACGTTGATGGAAATGAGGCAGAGATGCAAAAAATGCTTGAGCTTCCCTCTTATTATAAAACTGATGTTGACTTTTAATCACTACAACTTTCTTTAGCCTATCATTTTTAACCTAGCTAACAATCTCAGAGCCTTAGAGTCTAAGCGGAGTGAACATCGTCATGGCGTTGAGCAACATGTTGAATTGGAATTAGGGAGGAACAAAGGAAATCGCAGTGTTTCTAACTGTCTCCCAAGCTGCTTTTTTAAAAAAAGAAAAATTGTTTTTTGATCAAATTGAGCCTATAGACTGTCTTTACCCATAGTAGTCGTTAAGGACCGGTATTTATGAAGGAGAGGCTCGTCGTCATTGGCATTCTTTCGCATTCATTGTTTTTTTTTCTGGCAATTACATCAATAAATTCTGCCAGCTTAAACAACTCAGCCGATCAAAATATTGTGGGAGCTAACGAAAACAAACCATAAAATATCGAAACTCTTGCGCTGTAATCACACCGTTACCATCCTTGTCGAATACACGAAACGCTTCACGGATCATCTCCGAATCGGTCTCCTACAAGAACACGTCATTAATCCATTAATCACAAAGAACAGTGGTCGTGATGATAAGAAAGCAGCTATGACTAAGGAAATAAAACCGTGACGATGCTGAGATATTTGCAAACCATGGACCTCAAGCCAGATTTGAACCCGTCACATTACCTATTTCAGGGTAGGACTCACGCGTTATTACGCGGAACGCAACCACAATGTAATAGCCTGCCGTGAATAGAAATAATAGGTAGTAAATAGAAAGTTAATATGATTTCGACTAAAGTTTCAGCTTAACCGGGTTCAATGCTGATTTTTATTCCCTAGGTCATTTCCGTTGACGAATGATTATAAATGACACCGCTATGGTAAGAAAGTGGCCGAGAAAAACTCAGAGCAAGGGCATCGGTGGTTTAGTGAAGCCCTCGGAAAGAAAGTGTAATGACGGGTTTGAGTGTGGCCTTGTGTCCAAGTTTGGAAAATATCTCACTATCACCGTGGTTGCATTTTACATAATATCCTGCCATGAAAAAATAGTAGGCGGCAAATAAACGGTTAAGCACTATGATATCGCTAAGGACCATCATTATGTTAAAACGTGCCTACATATAAAAATGTCGTTAAGATTTTCAGTAGTGGAAGAAAAAACAGATTACTCCTATACTAGACTGAAATGAGAAAATTTGCAGTCCTTTCAAATTCGAGTTAATCTGGGTGATTAGCATACAATTCTCCTAATCTTAGCAAAGAATTCCACCTTCATCATTCTCTTCATCATCACACAAAACTCTGGAAACTCGATTTGACCGTTTCCATCTAAATCGACTTCGTTGATCATCTCCTGGATTTCCTGCAATGAATGAACAGATGCGATTCCAGGGTTTCTCGTCGTTTCAAGCAACGCATCTACAGAAAAACAACCCGTTTCCATCACTTTTTATACGTCCATTATCTTTTTGAAAGAAAAAAATGGGAACTTATGACGTCATATACGTCATCATATGACGTCATAGATCACTATAATTAGAAATAGCAGTCATATCGATGATTGTAAGGGATTTTTTTGGCGACTAGGTTGCTTGAGGGCATAAGGACTTAACAAACTTGTGCAAGCGACTACTCCATTTCCTTTTAAAGACATTCAAAAATTGTCCTATTGTAAATAAAATAATCATAATTTGACATAATGTTATTAAATGGTGTTAATAAACTTTTTGTTAACACGGGTGGAGCAATTTTCCGCAATATCAACACCACATTTAAGGACACCTCGTGTTCTCAACAAAGCATCTCGCTTGTTGAGATCCAGAATTTAGCATTTGATTCTCATTTAATGACCAACTTCAGCTTTTGTTAAGAAACATGTGCAGAATTCTAATGGATTTCATTTCAGTTAGCAAACTTCACTACGAGGTGAAATATGCTTAGAGCTCAAAAACTAAGCAGCTTTGGGATACTTCGGATCAGAAAGAATAAAATTAAGTCCTAACACAGCCGTCACCACCGATCTGCACCAATTCCTCACAAAATACAATGTTCACTAAGAAGCAGAGAACGAAAGCTAAGTCCGTCTTTGCTGACGCATCTATTTGACGCTCTATTTTTCGGCGCATTCGTTAGTGGACCTCTACTCACACTGTTGATCATGCCGACCATATCTGAGTGGAGATCCACTGACACCGGTACCTAAGTGCCATTGGTTTACCAATCGTCGCTGTCAAAATGCGTTCACGGGTGTCTGACTGCACTGTACAGCAAGGACTCCCTCATGCTACGTCTAGCTAGTCATAAGAAGTTCAACATCTTCAACCAACAACCCGGCTAACAGGAAACCCCAGAAACCCCGGATGTATAGTTAATAACCTAGGCAAAAGGATGCGACCCAGATGCTCTTCTAATCCATAACGGTTAGTGAGTACCTGTGTTGAGGACTTGGGAAACTTTAACAAAGTCCTGTAAGAAGTTCCAGAAAAAGAAGGTCTTTCTCAACCAAAATATTATTTCAAATTCCCAACATGACTCTTTGTGGAAATGGCCCACACGAGTGTTTAAGCATTTAAGCACAAAAACTATTGAGCTTCTTGGTGGTGGCGCCTAAGCTGAAAAATGTCCAATAGAGGCAGTACGGCTAGCTCCAGGATCGCGAGGTTACAAGGAGATACTCGATCAGCATTTTTAGGCATCAATTAAAAACACGACCTCAAGTAGCAGTCGAAGCAACAAGAGAAATGTTCGAAGACTTTTGTGGATGAGAAAGAGAGGAAAATGAATCGAATGCAAGAAACGTTAGGATCCGGATCCTCACGTGAGATGTGATAGCGGAGCATGTAAAATAAAAAATAAATCAGCGCCCCCACACGATTTTATAAGCGGAGAGTTTCTTTGGCTCTTTCGGTTAAAACCAGTGATAGTAAAAACCAGGCTGAAGAAGGCGAAATCCGCCGAAATGTCAGCTTTAATCGAGAACCAGTGATAGTAACAACCAGCTTAGAGCCAAAGTCTGCGCTCGGTAACCCTTTCTTCAGAGCCTCCATTGCAACCTATCAACCTTTTTGGCAGTTGTTGAGATAGGTATGATATTTACGTACTTTCGAATTTATTTCATTTCCTTTTAACTTTCGTCTGAGGTAATCAGCTTTGGGTTAGGATTCTGTCGCTGCCTGAGGATCTGTAAAACTTAACAGGCACGTGTGAAAGCGATTTTCCCTGTAATCCTTAGATATCCGCACTGAAGTATTTTCAATCCTTTAGCAAAAGCAGCTGTCAGCACTTTTGAATCACAGGAATGTATATTGCCTTGCCACTCGGATTTTTCCCAGATAACAGCGATGATTCCCATGACGTCATTGAATCCTATAATTAGCTAACCGGCTGCTCAATGACGATGTAACAAGCCGAATTTCCTCCATAGAGATTAATTACTCAAGCACCGTTCAGACCAATCTTTGTTCGACGATTTAAAATGCTGAAAAAAAAGATTTCCTCCGTAAAGAACAATACTCGAGAAGTAAAACTGAAAAACTCTCCCAAACAAGACATTCTAATCTCACCAAAATATCATAGAGCTCACTTAGAAAACAAAATTTATAGGCCGTAAGTGTGAGATTCGGCTCATTATAAGGTGAAGCTAATAATTCTCATCCTAAAAATCCTTTAGTTGTCAAAGTAGATCTAGTGGATACTGTCGGGCGACCTCTTCGGAAACGTTCGAAGTAGAGAAATGACTTGGCGAAGGTTGAGTTTCGCAGTTATATGTGGGTTAGCACTGCTAGTTAAACGCTACTTTCCAGTTAAACGAGTTCAGACCTTAAAGCTCAAGCAAAGCTGCTTGTTCGTTTCTAAAAAACAAGCACTAACTCAGTGATCTATAGGTGATGAACTAATTACAAACACTCTGTCAATGAAATCCGGAACTTTTCCCCACGACCGTCTATATCACAATAATTCCAGACCGCCAACGGAATTCCAGAATCCAGAGACTGAGATTTATGGACGTAGCATGCACTGTGTGAAAGCGAACAGCTGCATGGCTTATCGATTCCGATCGAGAAATTCCCCCATGTGATAAGAAGCGATAATGAGTGGCAATTTTTCAAAGTGGTAAAGATTTTCAAACAACGTGGTTGAAGCATGTTCATAGAGAAATTAGAAAACATTTCAGCAGTTTTAAGAGAATTCCTAGGTTTATGTTTCTTGGAAACTTGCACAAAAGAGGAGTTTCGACCTCCCTAAACCATGCCGGTGAACCAACGATTTGACCAAATAAAAAATTCTCGTCATTTCTTATGAAACCATTGAATTAATTTTAATATTAAATAACTAGATAAATAGAAGAACAAGATTCATCCAGAATGGAACCAGGAGCTCAGATATAATCCGACCTGTCTACGTCTTACACAGATGTAGCTCAAGCTAAAAATCAGTTCCCCATAAGTTATCGTTGTCATGAACGTTTCCTAACAATTCTCAATACAATAACAATACTCAAATCACCCATAAACCCTCATGATTAAGGCTTATACGTTCGTGTGCTTAGACTTTCGTAGCCACTAAAATGATTGTCCTCCACTGCATCAAAGAATCTACATATAAATAAAAAAAAATGATAGAGCTCTTGGCGTTGGTCAATCCCTGAGGAATGCGTCATGCATTCGACTTCATTAAGCAACGTTTGGAGGTGATTGCGAATACCGATCCGGCCTCTACAATGACTCGCGGTGGCCTACTGATATATCGAGCTAGTGCTGCTATCCTCCCAGACAACTCTGGTACCAATTTGCTGAACCCGGAGGATGGAAGGCTTGGTGGGCCATGGGTGCGAGGATCGATTTCACGTGTATGTCGCAGGGAGCCTCCGATCATTGCCCCACACGCGATCAAAGGATGTACGTGATGTCAGAAATCAACCATACATACCTGTTCTGTTGGATTTTGTCCAAGTGATCGCATAGCGATACCAAGTTCTTTAGTGGAAATTGTACCATTTCCATCTTTGTCGAACATCATGAATGCCTCACGAAATTCGTCCACTTCTTCAGGTGTAAGCTGAAAAAACGACTGGCATGGAATGCGTTACATCACCATAAGTATCATTCCGCTAAGTGGTTGCACTTCACTAAGTAACAATTACCTGCTTAATGATGTCTTCACTAAACTGCATTACACGTGTTGACGAGTTGCTAGCCAATTGCGCCATTCGTTCTTGTAGCTGAAAGAAAACAACGAAATAAACACTATGGGTTTCTGAAAGTAAAATATTGTAGAAAACCGACAGAACCTAAAAGAAAATAAAATAAACTATGAGAGCTTTCACAGAAACAACTCATAAAGTTTCTAATAGCACAGAATACAGCGAAAATCCTTAGTGTCCGCCTCTACGTGATGAGTTCGTAGAATATTCAGATGCAAACAGATAGATTGCTTGTAGACGAGAAAAGAAACATATGAAATTTCAAAGACGCCGTGTGTAAAGAATGTTCATAAAAAATGTAAAACGACACCATCGTGGACCGCGAAAAGAAACAGCTGCAGGTAGGAATTCAAAGGCAGAAATAACTCAGACGTAGAAACACTCACTGTTAGATATTCATTTAGGAATAAACTCAACAAGCAGGTGATTTTCTTCGTATTTTTGTTGAGCAAACGCGAGGTGTTACTACGTCTATGTGCAACTCAAAATTGCATAATTTGCCCCAGTGGTAGAGACGGTGATTGCATGAGCTCGGGTATAGCTTATCTGATCTCCGGTAAGGCGTGTGGAGACGAATACATTGGCGAAACGGGTAGACCCCTCTGTGTCCGCATGAAAGAACACCTAGCCGGCAAAAATAGACCAAATACCCCGCTAGGCACGCATAGGACCCAGAGACATAACGGGGACGACTTCGAAGTATGTGTCACGATCCTCGCACTCGAATCGAGAACACAGGCGCGAAAAACTCTCGAGGCACTCTGGATTAATTCCAGAAATCCGAAAACGAACCGCAGGGAAGAATGCCTCATTATCACGCGTGATATAGGGCAGTATATAAAACTGCTTTTCTGATGTGAGGGGCACATTATACTTCCACGTGATTTCTGTGCGGTTGGTCTCTACGTGACATACTTAGTGGAAACCTCATAGAAAACGGTGAGTTTGCAAAGCTGTGTTCAAAGTGATTGAAATCTTGGTTTGGAGTTTCTTTGTTTGGTTATGGAGGCGTCTGGCCGAGTGGATTGCTATCAACTTGACCTTTCCAGGCTCTGAAGAAGGCGAAATCCGCCGAAACGTCAGCTTAATCGTGAACAAAGAATAGTAACACCTCGCGTTTGCTCAACAAAAATACGAAGAAAATCACTTGATCAATGCCGAGGTTAATAGAAAGTTGGTCGTGGCAGTTACTTCAACAAGCAGGCTTCTTCTAAGCTTTTAAGTAATCACTTCTCTCTAAGTACTACGTATTTCATACAAACAGTGTCAAAATATTGTAGTTGTTAAAGTGTAGGAAGAAATTATGCCTATTAATAAATCAACTTTCCAAGGATAAATACTTGGAAAAAATCACACGATGCCTACTGCAGTCATTGAAAAACATATGATCCTATCTCAAGAACCTGAGGATTCTGGTTGTGGTTAGGCCGAAGGTTACGTAGCACACCTCCAGATCTCGAGTGCCATGCGTGGGCGAAAAACCGCTTCACCCTTATTCTCAGCTATAACTAGCTTCAAGAACTGCCCACAAATCTTTGCATATTTATGCATCGGTTCTTAACTGTGCTCCAATTTCACTCTTAGTGCTGAAGAAAATGGCATCAAAGTTTAGGTGTAGGCAGAAGCCTCTGTGAAACATGAAAAGATATGGGAGGCAGAACGGTTCAAGTTTAATTCCAGAAGATAGTCATACATTCACTCCTGAGAAGCCTAGAAAGCATCTGATGAGTGGACCTAGTGGGGTGACTCAAAGAGTAGCTAGAAATCTATGGGCACCTCGTTGCTAAAATCAGTGAGAAGAAAAGAATTTATAGGAAACAGCAATGATCCTTTGTCTTTATCTCTCGGGCAAAGTCCTCTAGAAGCCTCAAATCCTAAGACTCAAGATTGCGAAAAGTCATTGTGACGATTGAACTTAATTGAGTTACTTAATGAGCTACGAGATTGGTGTTGGAACAGTAGATGACTAAGTGGCTAGTACATCAAAGATAATCATAGGCGTCAGCGTAATTGTCATCACCGTTGTTGGAACGAATCTTAACAAAAAATGATCGCGAAGTTTGCATTTGTTCGTTGGGCAGACGAATATTACCAAAGCAACCGAAGAAAATGGCATCAAAGTTTAGGTGTAATTGTTACAGTAGAACCGATGAAAGCGATTAGTGGTTTCAAAATGCGTCGTAAAAGTGACTAAGTGGTTTCAGAAAGGTGGTGAAGTTTATAGTGGGAAGCTAACCGGAGAAGCTTGAAATCAAAGTAGGTAATCCGAGCTGCTAACTCTTTGAGACCCAGTTTCTCCTCCTCCTCCTACCCCATCGAACAAGCAAATTCATTACTTCGAACAAACCATTAAATCACCTGGTTGTCAATGGATGACTCAACGACTTCCGAATACTAGCGCGATATCCAGCAGTCGAAAGTCAAAACACTAAGAAAATACACAGCTATCAAGTCAGTGAATTATAAGTCATCAATCTATTTCAAAATGATTTATGCAGAAGCGTTGTAGGTGAAGCAGAGAGAAATTCTACGAATTTCTAGATATTTTTGTTTTAAAACCCTATAGTTTCCATCAAATGATCCGTGTATTTTATTTCCCATTACCATTCTTATCGTTCACTACACACAAGTTTCATGGTCGATCCCTTACCAAACCAACCAATCCTCTCGTTGCCTCGCAGTTGTCAAGTAATTACCAGACTTGTCTAGGAAGAATTTTTTCCGATCTACGAATAATTGCCTTTTGATGAACTCTCACAGCTATGGGTTCTAGAAAAAAATTACTCAGCAAAGATTCAACGACATTCATAAGGAAGAAAACCCTTAAGCAGCAACCGAGTATACTTTCAAAATCTGAAGACCTTGTTGAACGACAGGTGCGAGCTAACGAATCGAATGAAAGAAGTGCTGGGATCCGCGTAATACGTGTTGTCCGGCCCTGCACAATGCATAAAAAGTACTATTCTTCGACTGAGAATCTCATGTAAAAACTGATGTGTTTATCAACATTACATTCCGCAGATTACGCCTACTTGTTACAATCAGCCTCGATGCTTCGACAATTTTGGGAACAAAAAAGCGGGACTCCTCAATATTTGGGCTACCTGGCGGCTCGGTTTTATCATGGTCTCCAGGAAACGTGTTGGTCCTAAGCAGACCTAACTAAATAAAAAAATTGATTCTTTGTCAACTTTGCCACAAAAGAGATTATTACAGTATTTCTGGAATGCGAATTATTTTGCAGTACAATCAGAACTTTTATAATTTACCGTGCTTTCGTTACTAGCAGCAGTTCCGCCCTCTAAAAGCTATTCAACCAATGGGAATTGAACTTTCATCATGCTCCAAAAACGGTTAGGAAGATACGGAGTTAGAAGTATTTTGTTGACTACTTGAAGTATTGAGGTATTCTTCTCCGTAAAATCGGCTCAAAAAAGTCAAACATACCAGCCTTCGAGCGGTGATGAAATTGGAGGTGGAATGATATCGTACCATCGCTGTAGGTGATGAGAGCGATTGATATTCGTTTAGCAGTTGACGAATAGATTAAAGCCACAAGCCGACAAGTGAAGTAAATGAGGACGGAGTGAAGTGTTATGTTCAGAAGGAATGCTGACACCCGCGCGGAGTTGTCACCTTCATCACGTCGCCGTGCCGGAAACGCAAACAACGTTGACAGCCAGTTCGCTATTCGCCCACGGAAACTTCTCGAACTTTTTCTCAGATTATTCTTCTTTGTCATGGAAGAAGAAACTTTATAAAGGTGGTGAATGAAATTTCATACACTCATAAAGCTTCTATCGATGAACATTTTTGTGGATAGCTCGTTCGGTCGATCATGCCGACAGAGTAAACCTAGCCCTCCATCTCCAGGGTCGTCAAATTGGTGCCAGATTTGTCTATAGGATCAAAGCATTAAATCGACACATTGGGAACTTCCTGCAAGTTATTGCATCGACCAAATATGAATTCAAATGCAATGCTACGATGCTGAATTGAGTCGAATACATCCATCAGGTATTGATAAATGCTGAACACTTTACCTCTATTCTTTATGGATAAAGAATCTTTCTAAGCTATAAATACGAACTGAATGGCACCTTCTTGTCATACAGCGTCTATAATTTGAATCACCAATATGAATCAACTCTATCCACGTTTTGACCATCGAATGACTCACCTGGGTACCTGGAGCCTTCATTTCTTCCTGTCGCATGGAAGAGTATGCCAGTGGGTCCTGCTCGCTCTCGGGATTCGCTGAGCACTATATTCTTCTTATAGGATACTTGCGAAAAACTTTAACCGTCGACTTTGGTTATTCTCCTGCGCCTCACATCTCAAAGAATCTATTTGTTAAGCACTCTACTCAGCCCAGGGGCATCACATGCTCGGTCCACGTTATTTTCGACATTTTCGCGCGCACAGCGGCGTCTCTGATCTTTGATTGTTGAACATATAGGACAGAATATTGGATTCCTTCCCTCACCTTTGTGATACGGGGTACTCTCGACAGCACCCTAGAGTGCGCGTTTCAGAATGCGTAATGGTCTTTTATTCTGCTTGCTCAGCGACCAGGTTCCCTCTAAAGTAGGAAGAATTGTGAAATCCTAAAGGTGAGTATGGACTCGCTTGCTCTTAGTTCTCCTCATCACATATTTAGCGCTGTTGAAAGCTTTCCAAGCCGTTCGTTTTTCTCTGCTCGACTTTAGGACTAGATTGTTCATCACGCTGACTTTCATGACCCTAGTGTGCAGCTGGAACTGCTATAAAAGATGTTCATTACATTGGGCGTGAATTTGGCGCTAGAAGAAGTGTGTTTCTCAAGAACATCGCTTACATTAGATTCAGCGCCAATGTCGTGGAGGTCTTCCTTTTTATAGAACAATGCAGTCTCTCTGGTTTTCACTGAATAGGAACTTTGCACTCTGAGAGGTAACGGATGAACACAGCAGCGCCATTGTGTTTAGGGGCTGGCGGAAACTTTTCACGTTTCCATATCATGTCCT